AGAAAAACGCGCGAAGCAAAAAGAGGCACGGTCCTCTTCTGCCGAACGCGATACGCGCGATCGTTTGCGGACCGTCCAACTGCGGCAAGACGAACGTTCTGATACGTTTGTTGGAGAGTCCGCACGGTGTGTGATTCGAGAACGTTTACGTGTATTCGAAGTCTCTGCATCAACCAAAATATCGCTATCTGGAGCAATTGTTGGGATCAATGGATGAAATAGGTTACTTCACGTTCGCGAACAACTGCGAAGTTGTACCGACGAACGAGACTTTGCCCAATTCCGTGTTCGTGTTCGACGACGTTGTCTGCGACAAACAGGATGCAATAAGGGAGTATTTCGCGATGGGTCGTCACTCTAAAGTCGATTGCTTTTATCTCTGTCAAACGTACGCCAAGATACCGAAACATCTGATTCGCGACAACGCGAATCTGTTGATACTGTTTCGACAGGACGGCACGAATCTTCGACACGTTTACAACGATCACGTCAACACCGACATGTCGTACAACGACTTCTCGGAACTGTGTCGCGCGTGCTGGCGGCGAAAGTACGGTTTCGTTGTGATAGACAAGGAGAGCTCGTTTTGCAAAGGCAGGTACAGACGCGGGTTCAACGAGTTCGCCGTGCCGTAAACAGCGACAGTTTCGAACGGTTTGTCGAGCAACGACGACAACGAGGCTTCGCGCGCGTCGGCGGTGACCGCCGATATCGACGAACGCGAGCGTTTGGCGAAAGAGATCGCTCGAACGCGCGAATCGATACGCAAGAAACATCGATCGTTGAAAACGGGTCGCATCGAGGACGAGCTCGCTCTCGAACGACAATTCAAGCCGATTGTTGAACCGTTGCAGGAACTTATGGAGAGCGCAAAACCAACGGAAAGTTTTAATACAACGGGTGTGAAGAGGAAACTTGAAGACGACGCGGCAACGAGACCGACGCCGTTAAAACCGAAAAGACGCCGATCAAACGTCGCACCGTTGACATTATTACTCTTTTCCGCGGGTGATAACAACAAAAGCGATGCGATCCCAACACCCGAGCCGCCCGCGTCGCCTACATTGCTCGAACGCACGGTCGACGAACTNGCGCGAACGAGCGACGGTGAAACGAGAAACACGTTGCTCCAGCGTTTGGGAGTGTTGGGTCGCAGATACATCGGCGCTCTGTTGAGCACCGACAGATCGAAGACCATTGACACAACATTCGGCGTGTACTTTGGCGAGGAGGGTACGATGCTCGGCAGCAAACGCTTCGACGTCGGTTCCGACGACTCCATCATCGTG